TGTCAGAACCTAGCCCCTCACAAAAATGCTGTAATGAACTGGGCTTTGCCATTCATTATGTCTCACCAGTGAAGGAAGTGCTAAGAAATTCAGAGGTAAATTCATGAGCCACCCAAAGCAAATTTAAAGAACTTTTGTATACAATTCCCCTACAATTTTGTAGGGGAGTTTTGTATACAATTTCCCCTACAGAGTCATCTGATTTTAAAAAAATTATTGAGGTACAACATAACATAAAGTTTTAAGTGAATGATTCAGTAATTGTGAATTAGTAAATTCATAGTGTTGTACAAACACCACCTCTACCTAGTTCCAAAATTGTTTTATTATTCCAGGAGTCATCTGACTTTTTTTTTTTTTTTTGCTTTGTCTTTTCTTCCATTTTTTTTTCAATTCTTTAAAATAAAATCTTATTGTATTTCCTATATGTCTGTAAATCATCATAAATCTTTTTTTGAATGAGGTAGGATTTTAACAAGCAAATTGTAGGGATCCCTGGGTGGCGCAGCGGTTTGGCGCCTGCCTTTGGCCCAGGGCGCTGATCCTGGAGACCCGGGATCGAATCCCACATCAGGCTCCCGGTGCATGGAGCCTGCTCCTCCCTCTGCCTGTGTCTCTGCCTCTCTCTCTCTCTGTGACTATCATAAAAAAAAAAATTAAAAGAAAAAGCAAGCAAATTGTAAAAAAATCTAACAATAATCCCTAGTGCAGGAGACTGAAGAGGAAGAGTCAGGAAATATGAGGAAAATCAAGAAGTCATTTTGTGGAAGCCAAATGAAGAAGGAGTTTCAAGAAGGGAGTGATCGACAGGAGCCCTTGCCAGAAAGATCAAGTAAAATAAAGATGGAAATGAGGTTGATAAATTGATTAATTAGGAAGCCATTTGTGATTTTTGTGGAATCGCGTCCTTATAATGTACAGTTAGAGGTGAAAGCTTTGTAAAACTTAAAAAAAATTACAGTGTAGCAAAATGGAGATTAAAGAAGCTGCGGTAAAAGGCAAAGCAAGTTTGAGGGAATATTTTTTTTAATGAGGGAATATTTTTTTTAATAATGGGTAGTTATGCCAAACATAATTTAGTGTGTGGAAGACACTTGACAGATGGTCCTGGTTTTGCAACCAGCTATGGTGTGACCTTGGAACAAGACACTTCACATTTCTAACCTTGATTTTTCTTAACCATGAAGCACAGTAGCTTAACTAGATTATGTCTAAGATTCCTTCCAGCTTTAGTCTTCTAAAGTATAATCTTGAGTGGAAGGAATGTATAAATATAATGAGAATAGTAAAGAAATTTTGAAAATACAATAACACAGTCATCATACATGTAGTATCATTTTTATTAATCTACATGAAATGCTGACTTTAATAAGGTTTTATGATATCATAATGAAAGAAAGGAATCCAGCGAGCTTTTACTATCAACCATTTTATTATAAAAGTTTGTTTTGTTTTATACAACTTTAATCTTTTTATTTCTAATTTTTTTGGAAGATTTACTTATTTTAGTAAGAGAATGAGTGCAGGGGGAGGGGTAAAGAGAGAGGGAGAGAAATTCTCAAGCAGACTCCCCACTGAGTGTGGAGTCCAACATGGGACTTGATTTGGGTCCCTGAGATCATAGGCTGAGCCAAAATCAAGAGTCAGACCCTTAGCTCAACTGAACCACCCAGGCACCCCTACAACCAATGTTTAAATAATCTGAAAGTCAAAATAGTGGTTGATGTGGATAGTCGTGGATTATAAATAGCTATAAAGTTTTTGATATTTCTCCTATAAAGAGAAAAAGTCTATGTCCCCTCTTCTTGAATTAAGATGAGCTCTATGTCTGTCTAGCCATTAGAATGTGAGGAAGTATTTCTGAGCTGTTAGGATTGGCAGCTTCCACCCTCCAGCTCTTGCAATACTGACTCTTTAAACCCATGCTGCCATGCTTTAAGGATGCCCACGTAGCCCTGTTAAAGAGACCTATATAGAAAAAAAATGAGCCACCCACCCCTCCACCAGCCAATAGTTGTGGTTGAGTACTAATTTGCCAGCCATGTGAGTGAATCAATTGGAAAAAAAATACTCTAGGTCATACAACATGGGGCAGAGAAGAGCCGTCCTCACTAACCCTTACCCAAATTTCAGACTTCCGGGCAAAATAAATGATTGCTGTTTTAAGCCACAAACTTCAGGGATGGTTTGTAGTACAGAAGTAGATAATTATATCATGCAGTTCACATTTATTCATTGGTAATCATGTAAGCCATATATAATCTTTATAGGTGGTTCTGCTCTCATGTCATATATATATTTGAGAAAAAACTTGTATTCCACAAGATTGAATACTAATTGCACACAGAGTTTATGAGGAAAATAGGACCGAGGTAGAACATTCAAAACCCATAGAATTTTGTAAAGAGAAACCTAACTAAAATAGTAACAATTCTATTAAAAACATCAACCATAATACTGTAATTACTTTGGCAACAGCTCTAGAAATGTTTTTCTAGAGCAAAATTAAAAGTAAATTAATTTTAATTTTAATTTTTAATCTTAATTTTAATTTTTAAATTTAATTTTAATTTTGCTTTTCAAAAGCAAAATTAAACTACTGGCACTATACCAAAATGAAAAGCTTTTGCTCAATGAAGGAAACCATCAATAAAACAAAAGGGAAGGGCACAGAGGGTGTCCTCCATTTTAAACTTCCTTTTTAAGCCATCAATAAAACAAAAAAGCAACCTACTGAGTGAAAGAAGATATTTGCAAACAATGTATTCAGTAGGGGATCAGTATCCAACATATATAAAGAATTTATACAACTCAACAACAAATAATCCAATTTAAAAAATTGGCAGAGATGTGAATAGGTGTTTTTCCAAAGAAGACATATAGGTAGCCAACAGACATATTGTTGGCTCAATATCATTAATCATGAGGGAAATGTAAATTAAAACCACCATGAGATAGATACTTTAGCCATTCTACCTGTCAGAATGGATAGCTAAAATAAAAAACATAAGAAATAACAAATGTTGGCAAGGATGTGGAAAAAAGTAATCCTGTGCACTGCTTATGGGAATGCAGGTCAGTGCAGCTACTGTCGAAAACACTAGTTTCCTCAAAAAAGTAAAAACAGAATTATCATATGATCCAGTAATTCCACTACTGTGTATTTACCCAAAGAAAATGAAAACAGTAATTTGAAATGATATATATGCTCTCATGTTTATTGCATTATTTACAATAGCCAAGATATAGAAGCAAGTGTCCATCAAGTGTCCATCAATAGATGAATGGATAAAGAAGATATGGCATAGGGAACCCTGGGTGGCTCAGCAGTTTAGCACCGCCTTCAGCCCAGGGCCTGATCCTGGAGACCTGGGATCAAGTCTCATGTCAGGCTCCCTGCATGGAGCCTGCTTTTCCCTCTGCCTTTCTCTCTCTCTCTCTTTTCCCTCTGCCTCTCTCTCTCTCTGTATCTCTCATGAATAAATAAATAAAACCTTAAAAGAAAGAAGATATATGTGTGTATCTGGTGTGTGTATATATATATATATATATATGTATATATATATATATAGTCATATTAATATTAGTCATAAAAAGAATGAAATCCTGCCATTTGCAATAACATAGATGGACCTAGAGTGTATAAGACTAAGTGAAATAAATCAAAGAAAGACAAATACTATATGATTTAACTCTTATGTAGAATCTAAGAAACAACAAATGAATAAGGAAAAAAGACAAACAAAACACCAGATTCTTAAACACAGAAGAAAAACTGTTGGTTACTAGATGGGAGGTACATGGGGGCATGATTTAGAGTACACTTATCTTTTTAAAATATTTTTATTTATTTATTCATGAGAGACACAGTGAGAGAGAGAGAGAGAGGCAGAGACATAGGCCGAGGGAGAAGCAGGTTCCCTGCAAGGAGCCTGATGCGGGGACTCGATCCCAGATCCCAGGATCACACCCTGGGTCAAAGACAGATGCTCAACCGCTGAGCCACCCAGGCATCCCAAGAGTATACTTATCTTGATGAGCACTAAGAAATGTATAGAATTGTTGAATATAAAGCTATATGTTAATTATACTTGAATTAAAAAAAATAAACTTTAAAAAGAATTAAAAAAATTAAAAAGTCAGCTATAACAAATTTCCTCTGTTATTTGCACTTAGAATCACAGTTCATTCTTATCAGCCTTATATCCTAGGGTTCATGTTTCCTTAAAGACATTTTTATGTATAATTTCACCAGAGAGCTGTATAAAGTGGAAAGCATAGGGGTTCATGAAGCCACTAAATTAGCTCCTTCTTGCACTAAAAAAAGACTGCTGCAGAATTTCATTTTTTTTCTTAAAGTCTTCATAAATTGCTAACAATTCCTTTTTAACTGTGATAAAGTTGAACTCTACTGCCTCAGAAACGAACAGTTTTGGAAATTCAACAGTGAACCAAAAGGATTTCAATGTTTACTGACATCCTTATATTTCAATTACACATGAGCTAATTGTCACTAAAGAAACATATGTAGCAAAACAGATGGCATGAATGGTCAGCCTGTACGTGGCAAACAGAATACACATATTGACTGTAAGGACCTAATACTGTGTTGCCATAGTCCCTTGTTGTGGACTTGGGCCTTATGACTTACCTTGCCCTGATGGTCTCTCAGTTTTGAAGGCTTGTAGAGATGACTGTTCTGTGTGGGCAGCAGTTGGTACTGTTTTGGTTTCAGCTTCTTTCACCAGATCCATCAGGAAAGGGATGTCAGTGCTCTCTGTAGGCCTAGGGCCTAGAGCCAAAGGAAGGGCACAGAGGGTGTCCTCCTCTTCAGAAGAGGGTGGTTCAATGGATTGCTCTTCAGTTGGAAATGCGGGTATGAGGAAACCTTCTCCTGAGTTGAGGATGACTTTACCACTAGTCTTTGAGGTAGTGTCATAGATGGATTCCTCAAAGAGGAACACAAAGAGCTAACACAGACTTTGTGATAAAAAACTCACCAGGTATACTGTGTCCTGTTTTGTCCAATGTCTCAAACCTGGATTGACCAAGAGGAAGATCTGGACTCAAAGTAGCATCCTGAAGAATGAATTGAGAAAGACAGATGTTGAGAAGTGACATTTCCCTGTACATCAGAATGGCTACGCTTTGTATTTTTTTCAATTAAATTTAGTCAAATCATTTTGTAGTTGACTTGAATTTACTATGGATTCTGACACAGGTTCTGATATAGAAATTTTTCCTGAAAGGAAAACATGCAGTGATACAGTGGTAAAATATGACCAGTTGACTTCTTGGCTAACTGAGTCTGCCTGGGAGGATTAACTAATAACTGAAATACTTTGAATTGTCTATCATATTTGAATTTACAAATTCATTCATTTAAAGAACGAATAGAGCTTAGTCAGCACTTCCACTTATGAATACCCCAATGACAACTTTTGATATAAATTAAATGGACATAGCTTTAAATGAAATACAAAAATTATTACAAAATTTATTATTTTTAGTTTTGAAGACATTATTCTTATGAAACCATCATAAATAACTATAGGTAAGACCTTAAGACTTAAGAACAAGCTCATAAAGCATGCTTATGTTTATATTTATTTCTAAAAGTCAATATTCTATATTCTGCTTTAAGTATTCTTTTCAGTTCATGAACATGTGTTTGTTTTATCAAAATAGAAAATCCTGACACTAACTGAAACAAAGATCTAACATTGAAGAAAACTTTGAGTTTTACGATATTTGAAATGTAAGTTGTATTATATTTTATTAATACAGAAATTGGAAGGGGGCAACAAAATGCTGCTTGTAAAAAACAGAAAAAATATAATTAGCATTGCAAAGAAGATTTTGTTCTGTTCAGTCTTTAAGCGGATTTTTAAAAGTTTTTTTGATGGAAGATTTTGAGGCTTTGTTCCTATTTGAAGAACAAAAGAACAGCAAACTCACTTACCTTTGTGTTATCAGTAGGAAGTGTAGGCAGCACTGAGTGGAAGTCAGGATCGGAGCCTGGTAATAACCCCCAAAATTCTGCGGGTGAAAAATCACAAGGTTTGAGTATTTCTTTCTTTTTATTTTTTTCTTTTGTGGTTGGGGCACTAAAATAGTCAAGGTTGAAAAGTGTGGTTATAATCAGTTTTTAAGGACTTGTATAGCAAATCATTAAGAAATGAGCATCACATAAAATAATGGTCATTGATGTGAATAATATATTAAAGGACAGATGCAAGGGGTACATCTTATATATTTATGCAATAAGAATAGTCACTAAAGTGGAATTTTAAAGTGCTTAATTTTATTGTATAGATTTGGATCAGGCAGGCAAGTTGATTGGTTAGGCCAGTGGGGATGAAGTTATAATGAAGCTAACAAAAAGAAATAGCTAGAATAAGCACTGGAACCAAGGACCATTTGCAGAATCCTACTTCTACCTTGAAACCTGATTCTCAAAATATCCCAGAAGGTTGAACAGAGACAAACTGGAGTACCAGATGGTCTCTAAGATGAATCTGAAGCTTACCTTCTCTTGCCTAGGAGATTCCCTTGCTTTACATGTGGTCCCAGATGTTGCTTTCCCTTGCTTTACATGTGGTCCAGTGTTGAGTTTGACTATCTAAAATAGAGAAATAGAACTGGCAGAGAATACCAGTTTCATGCCACATCATACTAAAATGGCATTTCTAGTGTCCATCTATCATGCCAAGAATGCTGGGCATAGTAAGTGCTAGGCTCATAGGTCCCTCCAGGTACCACCTCTGAGAATCTTGGGTGTGCCTGATGATCTTGTTGACTTTCTTAGATCCACTCTCCTCTCCTCTCCCTGCTATTCTCTGCTCTGGGAGGTTGACTTATATAGACTATATCAATGCCTTTTTGCCCACTTGGAAAGGCTTAGATCATTAGGCAAACCCTTCATGCCTAGAGGTAGTAATGAGGCCTTCCTGTTTCTGGCACCAGGGAGCTTCTGTATTCTCTTGTGTATTAGGAAAAACTTTATAAACTGTTCCTTTATCAAACTCTACTCATGTTGTCCTAATTTGAATGTGCCATCTCTTTCCTTCTGGGACTCAACCAATTTGCTAGGTGAGGGAATATGTTTGGGTTATACCAATGCAAAAGGACTGTTCATGGGTGCTTCTTTCCATCTGGACTCCACTGGATGACTGTAGTTGAACTGCTGAACTGAAACTCTGGGCTTCTCCTAGACCTATTCTTGATGTGAAGTATCAACCAATGGCTCATCAAATGAGACACAGGTTGGAGTGAGGAAAGAGAACTGACACTATTCATGATGTGCCTGTCACAGAAATGATTGACTCTATAAGGCCCAAGTTGAAATGACGGTGACCATGGGACATTCACACCTCCTAACGTCATTGTCAGAATGAGGGTAACACCAGAATTATGAAATTACCAACTGACCATCAGTGAACTGAATTGTTTCCACATTCAAGGATTTGTCTTCCTCTAGTGCTCGGCTGATCAGCTTTTTGAGGTCTAAAGCTGTGAGATAGATTTCTGGTTGCTTGTCCTCCTCCATCATTCCTTGAGGGACTCCTTCACTCTCAATTTTGTTGGAATCAAAAGACAGGTGGTCACTTGCAGGTCTTTTTACTTCTGCACTGTCTCTCGTAAAGATGGCCATAACTCGTGTCTCTACGGAGCTTGAACTATAGACAGCAGAGGACACATACCATCCAAACCCATTGTTACATGCTTTATAAGGAGAGTCATAATGGTGCTACAAAGATTCCAGACAGCTTCATCCTCTTTCCTGATGGGCACTTAAAGAATATCCCACTTTACAACTCGTTTAAATGTTTATCAGAAATTTGAAATTTGAATTGATGTATATTTTAGTTGTTAGATAGAATGTCAGGATGAAGGTTAAGTCCAGCTTGAAGACTGGATATTAACTGAATCAAGTGATCACAGATTTTTTTACTTTATTCTTTATGAAAAAGCATTAATTTTCAAGAGATGCTATTATTCACCAGTGTTTTTGGTGCTATTATTCACCAGTTTTATAAGTAAAGTCATGAAGTTCCAATCAGCAAGAAGGATGAATCGTCCTTTTATCTACAAATAGCCTTCTTTAGGAAGGTCTATGAAATAGCAGCATAGGATACAGCAGTGGGACAGTAGTATGTAGATATTGTAACCAAGTCAAAGCTTTGATTCTTAAGGTTATTTCTCTTCTACTTCTTTCAAGACGTATTTTTAAAGATTTTATTTATTTATTTATTTATTTATTTATTTATTTATTTGAGAGAGAGAGAGAGAGGTAGAGGGAGAAGCAGGCTCCATGCAGGCAGCCTGACGTGGGACTCACTTCCAGGTCTCCAGGATCATGCCCTGGGCTGAAGGCGGCACTAAACTGCTAAGCCACTGGGGTTGCCCTCAAGACATATTTTTTAATTAAAAAACAAAATTGTAAATCAAACATAATTTTTTCTCTCAAGCTGTTTTTAAGGTAACATCTTAGAAGAAAGGTATGAGAAAAAAAGGGAAGTAGTATATGCTTAGCCATATTTATTATCATATTTATTGATTAAATGCCTTTTTGCATATAAGAATGAAATAGGATTCTCTAAAACTCTTTTTTCTAGGATCAGGTTCACCTTTTAGTTTATGCCATAAATCCACACAAAGGGATGCAAAAGAGTTTTAAAGGCCACAGGAACTGATAACGTGTACTCTTGGCAGTTCTTTGGGCCACATAATCAGTCAGAGTCTACAGTTCATTATTTCACTAGTCAATTATAGAAGCCAAAGCTGGATTCTTATTACTGAGCTCTCCAAGGTATAGTGGGCTCTGTCCCAATTCAAACTGACCTTGGAATTAAGGAGCAAATTAGTTTCTCTGCCTTATTCCAGACTAAGGTTGGCTGCTTATACAAGTGTGCATTCTGACAGACAATTTCCTATCACAAATGGAATTTAAGAAGTTGTTAAAACATGCTTGCTTCACAGAAATATGTTTTTGGTTTTCTAATTAGATTTTGAGTTTTGCAGAATACACTTTGATCAAATCATTGTTTACCTACTTATCTCACGTAGTGATTTTGACTTAAGAATTTTTTTGTACTGCAGAATAACTGATCAATTCCTCTTATTTAAGAAAGACACCAATAAAAGACATTGGCTTATCTTAGACTTTATATGTAAAAATTATTTGTAAAATATCAGCATATAAATTTGGGGGGCGGGAGGAGGTACTACATGTCAAAACATTAGAAAAGTCCAAATTACCCATCTCTTCTTTTCTTTGGTCTTCATTTCATCATATGCAATGGGAACATGCAAGGGAGAGAGAATTTTTATGAAATTTATTAAGACATTTACTAAATCATTTCACATACCAGAGAGAAAGGGGGAGGGGAGAGAGAGAGAGAGAGGAGAGAGAGAGAGAGAGAGAGAGAGAGAGAGATTTTTTTCCCATTGTTTCCCATGTTTGCCCAGAGCTTTGAAGGAAATACATTAACTGCCATCAGAATTTGAATGGGAATTTTGAGAGTCATATGAAACTCAGGAATAAACAGAATTATATGATGTTTCTGATTAGGGTTCAGACTTAGTTCAAAGGTTGTATGTACTTTTGGTTCTCTTTGTTAAACTCTTTGATTTCTTCATATTCTTCCCAAAGAGGAGGCATATATATCCTATACATCTTACATTTTGGGTGGTGCTGGTGCCAGGAAGTTTTTTAAGAAAGTATTTTATAAATGAATTTCTCTCCTTCTGAATAGCATTAAATGATTAATTTAATCCTGAAGGTAATTTATCTGAGACTGGTTGCTGGAGCTGGTGTATATTGTTGACTGATTATTTTTCAAATTTCTTTAATCAGTAAGCCTTGAAGGAATGGTGCAATTCATCATAGAACAGGTTGCAAGAAAAATAAACACCTGTTTACTGAGTGGGTGGTCCTCACCAGGCAGTTTATATGCATCCTAATTTAATCTTTTCAACAACACGGTGGTCCCCATTTTACAGAAAATAGAACACACACACACACACACAGAGGGGAAGTTTTTGGTTGGAAGGTGCAGAACCAGGATTCAAGCCCTGTCCTGCTTGACTTCAAGCCTGGGCCCATTTGCCATGCCACCATTTGGAGGCCATTTGGTCATCAAACTGACAGATATATTTTGGACTCCTCTGGACATATATATGAATTTAGTTTATAATTATATTCAGTTTTTATATATTATAACTATATTCAGTTTTCTTGTTTTACATTTCAGATGATATTTGTTGACAAAGACATTCTACACATGTGATGGGATTTGTGTTGCTCTTTCTGCCTGGGGTATGAATTTATTTGAATTTCATTCCTTGATAAAATAAGACTGAAATAAACTTTGCTACTACTTTCCTTCTGTAGAAGCAGGGGAGAATCTATGACTATCTAACTGGGCTGCTCTCTGGGAGGGACTTCTTTCTGTACCAACTACACATTCATATAGGGCCTGCCTCCTGCTTCTTTCAGCAGCAGCTTGTAGTTTGGAGAGAGGCAGGGCACCCTGAGCCAAGACCCTAGTCCTGCTCTTTAAAAAAAAATTATTGCATTGCAATATAATTGTCATGAAACAAACTGCACATGTTGATGGTGTACAATTTGATAAGTTTGACACCATACACCTGTGAAACCATTACCACAATAGAATTAATTCCTCCCAAAGGTTTACTCATGACTCTTTGAAATCCTTCTCTCCTATCCATTCTGTCTCACCCTCCCCAAGCAACTACTGGTCTGTTTTCTGTTATTATAGATTAGTTTGTGTGTTCCAGAGTTACATATAAATGGAGTCATAATATGGTCTTTTTCTTCTGGTTTCTTTCACTCAACCTAGCTATTTTGCAATGTACCTATATTGTTGTGTATTCTAATAGTTCCTTCCTCTGCTAAGTAGTAGACTACAGTAACAATATTCTACAATTTGTGTTATCTATTGCTCTGTAGATGGACATTTGGGTTGTTTCCAGTCCTTGTCTATTCCAAATAAAGGTGCTGTGGACTTTGTGTGAATCAGTCTTTGAAAGAGTATGCCCTCTTACCAGATTAAATGATTGTTAATAGTTTCCCATATTTGTTTTAAAAGATAAAGTAGTATTTAAAGTAGATATTTTTCTGTTTATACTTATAATTGTGTTAATAATAGAAGTTCTCACAACTTCCAGCTGTGTTGGGAGAATCAAATGAGGTCACTGATAAAAAACGTACTTATTAAATTGTAGATCAGGTTTCATACCAATGAGCTGACATAAAGACATTATCAGGAGACTCATAGGTTTTTAGGGGGTCTGGCTCCATGAGAAAGTGATTTCCTTCATACTAAGTTTACTTTACAATATTCTGAGCATTGTTAGTTATGATTAAAAGCTTGCCACACTCATAAGCATATTGTTTATAGTATTCAGGGTCAAAATATTTTCTGGTAGACTAAATATTCATTCCATGATGGAAATCATGGAGAATATATGGTCAAATTTATTTTATATGCATCTTTGGTAGAAATAAGAATAAAGTCTTATAGAGATAAACACATGGAAAAGATGCAGCTTCAGTGGATACACTATTTTTACCTTGCAAAATTTCATCATCCTAGCATTTTGTTTTCTTCTAAAATAGATTTTTTTTATTATTAGTTTTTCATTTATTTGAAGGGAGGGCATAATGAACAATTTGAACATTCACCAAGAGGACTGTTCCTATCATTTCCTTCAGCTTTAAATTAAACATCTGCTCTTTAGCTGCAGTGGTTTGTCTAGAAGACCTTGCCATCTATGCAGAATATTCTACTATCACCTTTTATTTCTTTCTAATCCATCTGATTTCACATGGAATATTGTGGAACAGCATCTTGAAATAAAGAAAAATGAGTCTGCTGTGGTACATATTAAGGGTTTCATCTTTTATAACTTTCACTTTTCAATATTTTCTTTCTCTAGAGTCAGACAAATCAGAGGGGCCTGATAGCTTTGGAAAGAAAAAAAACCATGGAGCTTGCCCAGAAGCGATTCTTCGTGAGCATGGAAACTTGCTCTGGGCACCCTCTAGATTTCAGACAACAATGGAGGGGCCAGATAGTCCTTTGAGGGAGGCCTTTTCTACCCACTTTACAAATCCCCCCTGGGGCAGGGGCTCTCATTCAGGCAAGCCAAGGCTGACGGATTCCCGGTGGTACATTAAAAAAAAAAAATCATATTATGACCCGGCCTGTAGATGTTTTGAATGAGAACTTAGAAGATGCAAAGCTTGCCAAAAATCATGAACCCCCCCAGATTAGAGTGTTGAGATGCTAATGGATATAGGCCTGCCTGTAGGAAAGCCATTGGAAGATAACTGAACCCTGTTTTAGCATGGCACCATTCTTTGATTTCATTCCCTTTATTTAAAATTATAATTTAATAATTTTTGCACAGTAATGCATTTTGCACAGTTCATCTGTCAAAATAATAAAAGGAGTATTTTGGGAAGTGTTGCTTCCACCTCTATCCCTTTGTACCCCTTCAACTTCCTTATCCCCAAAGGTACTATTTTTTATTAGTTTCACCTCCTTCTCCAGGGTCTGCCTGATTTGTTTAAACGATGATGATATTTAGCATTCAACAGGGAATCAAGCAATCAGACACCAAGGTAACTAATTGCCACTTTTTTTGACCTGTCACTACTGAGGTGTTCTCCTAAGAGATTTGTTAATAACATTGCCAAGGACAGCAGATGAGTTCTCTGCAGAGAGTAGTATTTCTGACTCCAAAGGGAGGAAGGAATACACCTCCTGTGTTATCCCTTAAAAAATCACGTAGAGTCATGTTCTAATTAGACAATTCCTTTATCTGAAATGTATTCAGTTTTCAGGATTGGCAGGGCTAAACAACTAGGGGGAAAGGAACCTTATAATCCTCATGACACTGCTTTTAAAAGAGGATAGGGAGAAAGTAATTTAAAAATTGAGAAAAGTCCGATTCTCTTACTTACCTAAATCCTAGCACATGGATTTCTTTGAATCCTGGAAGTTTCTTAAATACCTTTTGCATCTGCAAAAAGAAAGAAGTTTATGAAACACTCTTTGGATCTACTGGTTCAGATCTTACGTAACTGAAAAAGCCTAAACACTTTTGATGAGTTTGGGGAAAAACATGTAAATGGAAAATTGAAGCAACTATTGAGGCCAAACTCTTTGTTGTTAGTTATTTCTGAAACCCAGAGGAAAGTGTTTTGGTATTTATTTAAAAGCTTCAATTGGTGGGGGAGGGGTGCGTGGGTGGCTCAGTTGGTTAAACATCTGCTCTTGATTTCTGCTCACATTATAACCTCAGGGTCGGGGGATGGAGCCCTACATTGGCTCCATATGCTGGGCATCGAACCTGCTTAAGATTTTCTCTCTCTCCCTCTGCCCCTTCCCACACTCTCTTACTCTTACTCTCTTTTTAAAAAAAAAAGAAAGAAAGAAAAAGAAAAGCTGCAATTGGGTAATTCTGATCTGCTTTAATGGTTACTTTACATAGAATATGAAATAACTTTAAGGTGGCACTTGGAAGAAACTTTTTTGGCTACAGTATTTTTATTTATAGACAGAATAACTATTACATTTTCTGAGTTGAATTAAACTATTTGGAAAATATAATGTTAAAGATGTTACTAAAATAAAAATGGCTGTTGTATCTAGATAAAATGGTACAAGCAGACTCTAATGGTTAGATTCACTTGTAGATTTATTCGGACTTTACAATAAATTTTCTTAATTAGTATGACCTTGCTAATGAGGCATATTATTAGAATATTTTACAATTGCTATACTTAATTACTCCTGACCCACTATAGTATGGCTTCTGCCTCTGATTCGCCCAGGAGGGAGGGTTTTCTCCAGGCTGTTGCCTCTTGACTCTCTCCAAATCCAGTGGCATTTTCTGTTTCTCTTCCACAGTGTGGCTTTTTTTTTTTTTAATGGCTCTTCTTCCATGTTAAGGATCAATTTCTAAGTGACTTCTCAGTGCCATTCTGTGACTACATTTTTATTTCCCGTTTTAATCTTTCCATATCTGTTGTTCTAAAAATCCCTTGATGGGCTCCACTGCCTATTGAAGAAGGCCCAGTTCTTTAATAAGAATTCTTTTAAGACCGTCCACAATCTACCTCCTCCATTCCCCAAGTACTTTTATCATTTTCTCTTCCTGCTATCATTACCCACTTGGGCAATATTGTATCCTCTAGTCACACTAAATGTCTATCTCTCCTCAAATACAACATGTACTTCCTCCAGACTTCTATGACTTTTTTCCCCATTAGCCCAAGATGCAACTTCTACCTTTTGATTTTTGACTGCCCACTCTTACATCTTCCAAAGCCAGCCAGCTCAAACACATTTATAATTGAAAAGCATCTGTAGAGCTCTGAAGTCAGGCTCAATTATTTCTTCTCCCTAGACCTCCCTAGAATTTGTTACAGTATGCCCCATAAAACAGCCTATGAGCTACATGATGTCTCCCCTCACTGAGATTATCCTCCTTGGGCTCATGGACCATGTCTTATTTATTCATCTTCATCTCTCCCTCTCCCAATACCTAGTGGGTCATCATCCACATACTAGGGACTCAGCAAATTTTGTTTAATTGCCTTGAGTGCCGCTCTTCATTCTCTAAACTCATCGACATGCCACTGCATTGTCACTGTATCTAAAATTACTGCTGACTCTACATTATCTATGCCAAGGACTAGGGCAGTGATGCACAGATAATCTCCAAATCACTTACACTGGGCTTTGAAATGCACCATCGATTTCTTTTTCTAGCAGACTGCTTTACCTCCTAAATCATATTTTCTTGCACCAATGTTAAAAATAGTTTTCATCCCCTGAGCATGTAGTAACTACAGTGATGAAGGTTGCCCCCCCACCCCCAGCTTTCAGGTGATGAGGTAGCTGTGTAGGTTTGAGTTTAAATATTGGTTCTGCTACTTTCTAGCTGTAAGATCTTGAGTTTACTGCTTAGACTCTCTGAATCTGATCTCCTTGGCCAAAAAAAGGGATAACGGTACTTATTTTGTAAGGCTCCTATAAGAAATAACTAATAAGTGCCTGACACACAATGGGCAAAGAGTTGATGATATTGCATTATTGATTTACTTAGTCTCTATCTCTCCAATTGGATTACTATATCCTTGATAGCCCAATTTTCTTTTACTTCCTCTTTGGTCACATACCATGGAGCCTGACAAAAGCAGAGCAAGCCTTCAATCACTTGTTTTTGAAAGACTCAATGAGAGGAAGGACAGGATGAGGGCCCCCATTGGGGTCAGGTGCAGGGAGCCTGAGTAATGAGTTTCTGTGCCTCCACTACCACCCCCACCACAGGCTTAACAGACTAGGAGTTTAGGTTATGTGAAGCTGGTCTTTATTATGACAACAGGAAGGAAGGAGCTGTGTGCGTGCTTCATGTCTTTTCTGGCCTCCTGTGACAAATAGCTTTGGGGCCACAAGGCATTTGTCATGCCATTCCAGTAACAACACCTGGGACTGAATGTTTTAGTGTGAGCAGCAGTTTCTAGAGCGGAAGTTTCAGACCCTGACTTGTTCCTCTTTCTTGTCCAGGATATCAGAGTTGCTGTTATACGGATGAAAATAATCAATCAAGCACAGACTTCCATAGAAGCCCACAGCTATAGCATGGGTAGCAGAGAACATCTCCAAGGAGAGCTATCCTCCCCTCCAGGAGTGCTCCACAGCACTGGCTCTGGTGGAGGGGAATTTCGCTTATTGTCCATGTCCTCTCTGTGAACCTGCCTGTGATTGATTAAGAGTCAGCTCTGCTTAGGAGGGTGCAGAAGGCATCTAGGGAGGAGATGACAAAGGCCTTCAGTTAATTCTGCTAAATAATCTTCTGGGGACCTTCCAATCATGGAGTGCTAACCACTAAATTGCTAATTAAGTGCCCAGTTAACCTTATTAATAATACTAAATGCACAGGGGCCTCCCTGATCTTGCTGGAATGTATGTTAACGGGGCTATAAAAAGGCACCCGTGTTGAGTTCTCATGAATGTTTGCACAGGAGAAAGCATTCACACAACAACTAAGCATTCCTTTTGACATTTGTATTAAATTGCTCATTAGGTTTATTGTGGAAATTAAATTACTGCAAAGCACTGTCCATTAATTCCTGATTAGGCTTGAATGGCTGTGCTAATGCAAGTATGGGCTGTGGTGGAGCTGGTAAGTTATGTGTTGGCAGGCTGCTAGGTAGTCTGGATTGCTCAGGAACCTGGAAAGGGAACAGATGCTCTAAGCAGAGGGGCTCCATTTCAGAGAAGTCAGTGACCATGCAGAGGAACTAGCAGGACTAATGTGGTGGGGCTCCTGAACAAGACCAAGTAACACATAGCCTTTTGGCTAATACAGTTTTCAGAGTGTAGAATGGGCATGTTTATTTGATGATGATACAAAAATCTGTGCCTCATATATATTTATTCAGGAAAAATAGGAAGTATAGCATCATGGATATGAACAGGGGTTTTGGTGCCAGGCCGTTTGGGTTTGAATCTTGGCTAACTATCCAATTTTGAAGATATTCTGACTATACTAGGAATTTTTCTGACAAGATCAAAGAACAAATAGAATGTTAACAGACTATTCTTTAATTCATTTGATCTAATAATCATGTCTAAGTACTGCTCTGATTCATAAACACCCCATATTGATGCTTTCTCTTATCAAGTTTGTAGAAATGATTCTGTACATTTTATTTACTGAAAACTGGTGCAGGAAGAGGTTGGAGGCTTAAAGTTTTTGCTTATTCATCTTCTTTCCAGTTGAGAGGAGGTAAGCATTGAATTCTCCACATAGAAAGGGAATAAAGGGGAAAGGAGAAAAAATAAGTGGGAAATATCAGAAAGGGAGACAAAACATGGGAGACTCCTAACTCTGGGAAACGAACTAGGGTGGTGGAAGGGGAGGAGGATGGGGGTTGGGGGTGACTGGGTGGCGGGCACTGAGGTGGGCACTTGACGGGATGAGCACTGGGTGTTATTCTGTATGTTGGCAAATTGAACACCAATAAAAAAATAAATTTATTATTAAAAAAAAAGAATTCTCCACATATGAGAAGTAGGGGCTTATGGGTTCCCTGGCCATGCTGTGTGAGATGCTTGGGATAGCCATAAATAAAGTTCATGGTTATGTTGTCTTGTGAATGCATCTATTTTCGGTTGCATTTCTACAACTCCTGAGTAGTTAACTGCATCCCAAACTCCGTATTAGGAGCTAAGTCTTCAGAGATAAAGAAACCCTTCCTGTCCTCAAGGGAACACCCAGAACCTGGAGGTAATGAAGATGTTGGGTGAAGATGGGGGAAAGGAGACAACAAAGGCCATGGACATGTAAGCAAATAATCTCAAGACAGGGTGATAAATGTTGTGACAGCAACGGGCACTGTATGTTAGCTCAGAGGATTGATACTGAACCCAGGATGGGTAGAGAGGACTTCCCCTGAATGAGTTGGTAAAATGAAACCCACTGCAGATAGCTTATGGAAAAGCTAAAGGTGAGAAGAGATTTCTAAGCAGTTGTACCTCTGTGCAAAGGAGGGGGAGTAGCTAGTGTTAAGATGAGGCTGGAAAGGAAGGCAGGACTCTTAGCACGGCCTAGAAATGCGACCTGTCAGCACAGTAGTTTGGATTCATCCTGCAGGAAATGAAGAGGCAGGCGGAGGTGATGATGGTCATAGACAGAAAAGACATCTTGGGGCAGCTCCTAAGTTTAGTGGCTGGCATGGACAACATAACTGCCTTTTACTATCACCCATGAAAAATATCATGGTTTCAAATTGCATCAAACTGCAAAAGTAGAAATATTATGTGAGACTAATACGGGTTAAAAAAATATTTCAAACCAGCATATTAAAAAAAACAGCATATTCCTTGGTTGGTTCTTACATGAACACTTTAGATGTATAGACTATGTGCTTAATGACTTTCAGTTAAAGGAGATTTAAAAACCTACTAGTATTTAAAGAAGCCCTAAATGTAAGTGACTTTTAAGATAGAGAAGCTGGAATAGAAATACTTTTCTAGAGATCCAGGTGCTCTAACATTTTGGACCTATTACAGTTTTTTATATCTTTCTAATGGTTAAAAATCAATGCTTAATTATAAAAAGTTGGAACTATCAGCTCAAAGAGTTTAGCTGCTGGCTCTCAGATTCTGAATCATGACTTAGGCTGTGGTTGTGTGGGGTGGGTTCACTTACCTGGAGTTGAGACTTTTCTGCTAGCTCCTGATAATATGGGGACTGTGAGTCAGTGAGCTCTGCCTTAAACCTCTGGTTTGTCAGAGTGATGCTCAGCTCTACCTTCTGCTCCAGTGGGCCCTCAGATATCTTAGTGGATTCTACTTTACTTTCCTAAATTAAAAAAATAAAGGATCATCTATTAGCATAAACCAAAAGCATATGGTAATATTAAATAATATATATTGCTATTGTCTCAAGAAGTAGATTATGAAAGCTCAAGTGCTTTTAGAATTAAAATCCTATTAACTAGAAGTGTCCTCTGAATTTTATTGACAAAGTACCAAAGCGCCAATGAGTTAACTATTTAGGATCCTTGAAAACACTGTAGTTTTATGACTATGTGCTTTCCATGAAAGCATTTACACACACACATATATATATACACACACATATAATTCATATATATTGCCAGAGCATCACTGGGATTGTACCACATTCTTGTGTAACTTTATGAATACTCTTTGATGAGGACCAGATTATACAAAATAACCTAAGGATGCTGAGATATTACTTAATATATTCATTTTAAGATAAGAGCCTAGACTGGTTTAATGAGACCATTTGTACTTAAACTTCACATTGAAGCTAGTTAGCAAGCACTTACAGGTCAAGAGATGGTTTGAAATATCTCTCAAAAGGAATGGCATATTTGGACCACCTTTGGTAGCATGTGGCTTAAAAGAGAAGCACTTTTCTGAGGATCTGGATTTGACCTCTGATCACAAGGGCCAGGGGTCATCCTTCTTGCCCTCTGGACTGTGAACAGGAAGGAGTGTCTCACCGCTCTGAATTCACCTGGGCTCCCTGGGTACAGAGCAAGCCTAGAGCTGGGTTTCAAACTTGAGGTTTGACAAATTTTCAGTATTGGGTACCCAGATAATCATGAAATCTGAACAGCTTTCTTAAAAGAGTAAAACACATATCTGTAGAAAATTGACTATCTTTGGTAATGTACATATTCTCTTATTAGTGAAAATAGAGCTGTGGAAGCAGAAAGAAGAGACCAACCAATAGAAAATGACATGCGGGACAAATCTCATGTAGTTTCTCCTCATTTCTTATCACAAACTCCTCTCTTCCATGGGCAGTGGACAGCAGCACAGCCTCTAACTTTAATTGGGCACATGGAGGATGTAGATTCACACTTGCCAAACTACTGATGTTTGTTTAACAAAAAGATTTCTTTCTTTTTCTTTCTTTCTTTCTTTCTTTCTTTCTTTCTTTCTTTCTTTCTTTCTCATTCATTCATTCATTCATTCATTCATTGAGATAACACACATTAAGCATCTGTAAGGGTATAGAACAGTGCTAGGACCTATGGGAAGTTAAAAGAAAAATATCCTCAGTAATACTCTATTACCTATGGGATAAAAATCTAAACTTTTTTCCTGACACACAAGGCTCTCCACAATCTGACTCTAATCTGAACAATTTTATTTATTTTTTATTAAATTTTTTTTCTTTTTGTTATTAAACTTCTGAGTAGGCCCAGGTAGAAAATCTTATTCTTAAAAAAGTTTTTATTTTAATTGCAGTTAGCTAACATACAATGTTATATTAGTTTCAGGTATAGAATATAATGAGTCAACACTTCCATACAGCAGCCGGCGCTCATCATGACAAGTGCCCTTCTTCATCCCCATCACCTATTTCACCCATTCCCCCCTACCACTTCCTCCCTGGTAACCCTCAATTTGTTCTGTATAGCTAACAGTCTGTTTCTTGGTTTCTCTCTTTCTTTCTTTTTCCCTTTTCTGATTTGTTTTGTGTCTTAAATTCCACATGGAAATGAAATCATATGGTATTTTCCTTTCTCTGACTGACTTATTATCACTTAGTATTATGCTCTCCAGCTCCATCCACATCCTTGCAAATGGCAAGATTTCGTTCTTTTTTATGGCTAAATAATATTCCATTGTATATACATACCACATCTTCTTTATTCATTCATCAGCTGATAGATATTTGGGCTGTTTCCATATTTTGGCTATTGTAAATAATGCTGCTGTAAACATAGGGGTACCTGTATCTCTATGAATTAGTGTTTTTGTATTATTTGGGTAAATTCCCAGGGGTGTAATTACTGGATCATAGGTTAGCTCTATTGTCAACTTTTTGAGGAAACTCCATACTGTTCTACAGAGTGGCTGCACTAGTTTGCATTCCCACCAATGGTGCAAAGAGGGTTCCTTTTTCTCCACATCCTTGCCAACACCGTTATTTCTTAAGTTGCTGATTTTAGCCATTCTGACAAGTGTGAGGTGACATCTCATAGTTTTGTTTTGCATTTGTCTGATGGTAAGCGATGATGAACATTGTTTCATATGTCTCCTGGCCATCTGTATGTCTTCTTTGGAAAAAGTGTTTATTCATATCCTCTGACCCTATTTATTTATTTATTTATTTTTTGAATCTGACCCTTTTTAAATTGGATTATTTGTTTTTGGGGTGTTGACTTTTTATAAGTTCTTTATATATTTGGGTACTAACCCTTTATGATATATACCATTTACAAATATCTTCTCCCATCCCATAGGCTGCCTTTTAGTTTTATTGATTATTTTCTTTGCTGTGTAGACGTCTTTTATTTTGATGTAGTCCCAGTAGTTTATTTTTGCTTTTATTTCCTTTGCCTTAGGAGACATATCTAGAAATAAGTTGCTAAGGCCGATGTCAAAGAGGTTACTGTCTGTATTCCCTTCTAGGATTTTTATAGTATCTTGTCTCACATTTAGGTCTTTCATCCACTTTAAATTTATTTTTATGTATGGTGTAAGAAAAATGGTCCAATTTCTTTCTTTCGCATGCTGCTGTCCAGTTTTCCCAACACTATTTGTGAAGAGACTGTCCTTTTCCCATTGGATATTCTCTCCTATTTTGATGAAGATTAGTTGACTATATAGTGTGGGTGTATCTCTGGGTTTTCTATTCAGTTCCATTGATCTACATGTTTATTTTTGTGCCAGTTACCATACTGTATTGATTACTACAGCTTTGTAATATAACTTGAAGTCTGGAATTGTGATGCCCCCAGCTTTGCTTTTCTTTGTCAAGATTGCTTTGACTATTTGTTTTTTTTTGTGGGTCCACACAAATTTTATGATAGTTTGTTCCAGCTCTGTGAAAAATACTATTTTGATAGGGATTGCACTAAATGTGTAAATTGCTTCAGGTAGTATAGATGTTTTAAGAGTATTTATTTTTCCAACCCATGAGCATGGAATGCCCTTCTATGTCTTTGTGTCATATTCAGTTTCTTTCATCAGTATTTTATAGTTTTCAGAGTACAGGTTTTTCACCTCTTTGTTTGGGTTTATTCCTAGATATCTTATTATTTTTGGTGCAATTCTAAATGGAATTGTTGCTGTTTGAACAATTTTAGTCTGTGTCATTTCTCCCTGCGTTGACTATCAGATAGCTTATTCACTGTTGATGAGATAGCACATTGCTTGTGCTAGTCTCCTGACTGGAGACTCACCTCACTGCTCCCCATGCTGACCTCCAGCACTAAAACATATGGGGACACACACACACACACACACACACACACATTTTTTTACTTCCTACTAATATTTGATGGTTCATTTAAAATAATATTTCCTCTGATCATTTAGGGTAGAAATCTTTGCCTCCTCTAATGTCTTGTAGCAAAGAATAATATTTGAATTTTTCATTTAATACCTATGCCATATTCACATAGAGTCTTTTTATGTGCTAATCTTGTCAACCCACATGTAATCTCCTGAATCCAGTATTATTCATTAAATCTCCCAAAGTTTAAAAAAAATGTGGCCACTTATGCACAAAACTCTTTGTGAACATTCATGACTAGAGGTTACATACTTTGCAACCTGTCCTGGTCTACCATTCTGTTCCATTCTATACATTTGTCATCTTCAAGTACAGCATTTAAATTATTTTTGTTGTACTTATTTGCATTATACAATAACACAAATATTGAAGGCAGGAAGTGTGTCTTAGGATCTTTGGCACATATCCCAATGCCTGGCACATCAGAGGATTTTAGTAAAACATTTGCTGAACAAAAGTGATGGGTGCAGGTGGTAAAAAGGTTAAGAGGAGAATGTGATGAATATGGAATGAGATGTTCAGGGGATATTTACTGCAGAAGGGGGGGCCTATATTAGATTTTGAAGAATATGGGATATAAGTAATATGAGAAAAGAGAAGGTGAACTGAAGTCATCTTTGAAATTTTATAGTGAATAAGTTTAATCTCAATAATTTTTTCCAACAGTACTTTTGACTGTTCATGGAATAGTAATTTTGAGAAAAATGGAACATTTTAATTCTTTGTTCATAGCAGTAGTTCCAGCAAATCCACAGCTATCTGGCCTATAGGCCAGATAGAATGGCCAGCAGGGTTCTCATCCCCGAATTTTCATGCAGAGCTGGTGAGACTGAATTTCTTGCTCTCATCACCTAGGGGAGGTTCTCAGGAGAGGAAAGGCTAGTGAAGTCTTGCAGACCACAGGGAAGTTAGGGAAGTTATGGTTGCAGTGGCACTGTTAGAGGAGATTCAGGCTCTGATGTGTCACCCCTATACCCCTGCCCCCTTGTGAATTTGCTTCCCACTTCTGCTGCCACAATCTTGTCACTCCAGAGTAGAGGGAACAGAGATTCCTGGCTTCAGCAACAAGTGTTTGGCTCAAAGATTTTGGAGTGGTTAAAATGGCCCCCTTCTTGGATAACCACTATTAAATTCTGTAACATATCCTCTCCTCTTTCAGGCCTTTTCACACAAAGATAGCATTGTGGTCAGTGCTCCTCTTTGCCTTGAGAACACTGTTTTTATTTTCACCCATTTGACACAAAGGATTTCAGTCATTTTGATATTTGTCTGACCTATTCACGCTGGCGATGACTGAAAGCAATACTTTTTCCCTTACTGTCATCATAAGATTACACTTGGTGGAGAAGGAACTTGACTGATTGATTGATAGGCTTATTCATTCATTTATTCTAGCGTTTGGTGAATACCTGCTGTATACAAGCTTCTGTTAGGTACTGGGGGAAAAGGTGCCCCTGCCTTCCTGGAGTTTATAATTAAGTTGCTTCTTGCAATTCTTCCCACCTTATTCTAGCTTTCAATCTATTTTTTTTCCTCAGTCCCTAGGAGAAGGAAGAATACTGAATAGGATGAAGTCACTGACTCTTAATTGGAATGATAAAAAAAAGCAGCACTAGTAATATTAAAAGGCCAGTTCACCCATTCTCTTTTCTTGTGTTACTAATAAAATAATAACAGGCATGGAAAAAGCTAGATTGACTCTCAGAACTCCTTACTATTGTAGGCATCTTGGTGTCATTGAGGAGTGTGTCATCGAGAGTGAGAGGGAAGGGTCCAAGAGAGACACTGACAGCATCTGTGGAAATGAAAAACATCACAGGCACAAAAATGAGATTGGAGAGGTTTACATTAGAACAAGGTCAAAATTTCATATACTTTTTCTGTCATTCTGGAGTTTACAGGTGTTTCTCTCTTACCTCATTTTTTAAAAATGTCGTATAAATATGTTCTTGGGAAAATATAACTCAAACTTTTGATCCTAATTGAATTCTCCATTCTTCTCTTCTAGGTGCTGTCCTAGTTTGGTGCAATTCTAGATATATTACAGTTAAATGGTTTTGCCAGTGTGATCTAGTTAATTTTTCCATTTGTGACTACATAAAGGATGCCAGACAGATATTTATCTTGAATTAACTTGTTTGAACATATTGGTAATGATTGTCTCCAAATTGTAGGGTAATAAGTGATTTGGTTTTACGTTTATTCTTTTCTAGATTTTCCAAGTTTTATACAATGCATTTAAATTATTTTATAAAGCTAGAAATATCTGTTAGTTTTGAGAAAGTATATTGTAAATCTTGTCAACTTCAATTAAGGATTGCTTTTTAAATAATATACTTCCATGATCATTTGAATTAAGGTTCAGGAGCAGGTAAATGAGAAGATCTAAGCTTACCTGTAGAAAACACAGGGGTCTCATCAGGCTCTCCTAATGTCTCCTCTGTAGATATTTCATCTTTTCTACACCACAGCAGAAAAAAAAAGAAGAGGTGGTAAAAAAGGAGCTTGATAACTATAAGGGAAATGCATTTACTTTTCCTATACTCAATAGACTTAAAAGTTAGAGAAAAGTCCTTTAAAACTAGGTTTTCCTATTTTTTCATTATAGAAGTAAACTTTAAATGTACTTTCATTAAAGAAAAATTCAAACAACCCCTGAAAATAGTTATGTTTGATTCCAGGGTTTTCCTTAAGCATCTTTCATGTGGTCCTGGGGAGCATTTTCATTGTAAGCAAAACTGGTCTTTGGGGTTTGATGTTTCATAGTCCCATTGTGCTTGCACTCATGTCCTCGACATCAAAGATAATTGCATGACATGATTTACGGCTGAATGTTCTTGCTAAACTCTTGGATCCTCAAACCTGCAAATCCAGAGAGTCCTTAAGTTTATTTACTAAAGTAACTCTGGTGGTTATAGTAATAGGATAGAGGGAGATTTCTGGATAATGCAGGTATATTAAATCCCTATTTTGGACACAACCATTGCCTGCTACAGATATGGGTAGGTTTGCAGTGCCATGCAGTGGCATTCTGGAAGATATCTAAGGGCAAATCCAAGGGTATGGTTATAGTTGTCTGCATACAATGTTGGCCCATTCTGTCAAGCTTTATGTAGAAAGGAGTAGCAGTAGTGATATCTTTTGAAGCTCACTGAAAGATTTGTTACTATAAGCTATTAGGTCTTATAACTTGTGTCTGTATTAGTACAATATAGTCATAGTTGACATATATATATATATATTTTTAAATCAGATGAGTTTTTCTTTTTTAAAGATTATTTATTTATTTATTTATTTATTTATTTATTTATTTATTTGAGAGAGAGAGAGAGAGAGAGAGAGAGAGGCAGAGACACAGGCAGAGGGAGAAGCAGGCTCCATGAAGGGAGCTTGCCCTGGGACTCAATCCCGGGTCTCCAGGATCACACTCTGGGCTGCAGGTGGCACTAAACTGCTGCACCACTGGGGCTGCCCTGACCAATATATTTGATCCAATTTTCTGTGACTCATGATGATGGGAAGACCATCATCCCTCTGCAGTGTGGAGTCTGTAGAGTCTCTGTGCTGTAGAGTCATCTAGATTGGCTATAAACAGTGGGACTATCTACATATGTATTTCTAACATACAAAATTTTGCCAAAGTCCTAATAGAGGGAATATACAAAATGTTATTCGTTGGCCTAGCATGGACTTTGACCAACCAGAAGAGATGTAAACATGGAGGACTGTATTGGTGCACACAGACTAAATATAAATACAGACTGTTTTGGAATTAGGTATACTTGTTTGTTTCTGCTAGTTTTATGCTATATGCTTAAGAAATAGTTTTTATGGATATCATATTTATAGAGCTCTCATATCAAACATTACAGCATTTTTGATTTAAATAATTTTCCTTTTTTTCACTTTAGAGAAACTTTGTTTATAGTAAGATCTCTTTTCTATCATAACTTTGATATTTTTGTTTCATTCTGCTGTAAGAAAAGACCACAACCAAGAGGAATAGTTATTAAAGTGCTGGCTATGGTATTGGTTACAAGTCAATAGCCCACTTTGTGCAGGACACTGTTTCAGATGCTATTTCTTCATCCTTTGCTACTGGGTGTGATTCTGCCACTATAATGGCAATCTAGACCATCACTCAGAAGTTATAATTTGGGAAGCTGAGACACTGGGTTCTTTCACTGGCTTTTATTTTTAAGTCATTTGAAAGTGGCAGATTTATGGGCTACTCAGGTGAGAATATTTTCTGTTTTGTCTTTCTAGAAATGTTTGAAATAACAGGCCTGCCTGCTTTCCTTCCTTCCTTCCTTCCTTCCTTCCTTCCTTCCTTCCTTCCTTCCTTCCTTCCTTCCCAACTCAGTAATCATAGTTAATGTAAAATGTTTGTCTCTTTCTCCTTAGGAATTCTTTCTAGCAATGTTGGTAGACACAGGAGTGGGTGGGATGATTCTTTTTCTTTCTATTTCTGTCTTGGGTAACTGTTTCCTGTAATTTTTAATGTTTTTCCATCAAATCTTGGTACATTCTGTTGGATTTTTTTCTTGGATGGATGGCCTCTGCTTTACTTTTTTTTTTTTTTTGAAATGGAGGAGTATCATCCTATAGTTAAATCAGAAAAGTGAATATCTCTGTGTCATGTGAACAAAGTTAATACTCTAGTACTAAGATTTTCCTCAATTACATTATTTCTTCTGGTAACAATTTTTAAGAATTTCTAAAGAGCGGCTCAGTAGAAGTATCAATTAACAAAATATATGAGGACTTTGCTCAGGTCTGTGGTGGTGGGTGGAGAGATATAAAACAGTTCCTGCTCTTGAGGAGTTTAAATTCTTACAGGAAAATAGCGCAAAGCAGTATTAAATAAAAATCTAAGTGCCAAAAAGTACAAAGTTCAAAGCAGGAAGATATTGCTGCAGGCTCAAACAGGTGTGAAGACATCATGGGATCCAGGTGGGACTCCACTAGGAGCTTCAAGGAGAGTAGGCTTTGGATAGGTAACATGGAAAAGCAGGTTCTTCTGGGCAAGATGGAAAGGTTAGGGGTCAGAGTCCAGATGAGTAGGGTTTGGTTGGTGTGCAGTAAGGAATGGCATGGTGGCCACAGTGTATCATGGGTAATAGAGGCAAATTTGGCAAGGTCAGGGGTGAAAGGCCTCAGTTGATTAGTTTGGCCTCTGCCTCAATGAAGGTCCTGGCAGGACACAGATGACTCACTCATTGTGGGGTAATTTGAACAAAGTTTATAAAAGGGATTACTGGGGCATCTGGGTGGCTCAGTGGTTGAGCATCTCTCTTTGGCTCAAGGTGTGATCCTGGTGTCCCAAGATTGAGTCCTGCATTAGGCTCCCCATAGGGAGCCTGTTTCTCCCTCTGCCTCTTTCTGTCTCTCGTGAATAAATAAATGAAAACTTAAAAAAAAAAGGGGGATACTTACTAAATTGTGGGAAGGGTAAAAGAGCAACCACAAGGCCGAGTGCAGTACTCAGGGGTGGGTAATAGTGGGATCTTCAAACCACCCTTTGTTTAGGAGAGGTGAGAGAATAGGGCACTTACCATGAACCCGAGACAGAGAAGGATCTGTGGAAAGGCTGCCTGACAGGAGCTGAGATGAAACTGAAGGATGACAACAGCCCTCAAAGACTTTGCAAGTTGGTTGTGAGGGGAGGTGATAAATTCACTCACCTCATCCTATCCTCTGTCTCTGATCTCGTGCTCCCCTCCAGCTGGCCCTATCTGGGAGTCAGGGCAAAGGATATGAGTGGTTTTATCCTTACCACCCAGCCTTCTGTACACAAGAGCATGAGGGGACTAGTGAGCAGAGGATATTCAGAAGGGTAAAAGGAAGATGTGGGAATCTTTTGAAAGTCATTGAACAGGGCTCAATGTAAGAAAAGGAACTTTTCAGACTTATTAATCCAGCAGCAGTTATGCAAGTTAAGGAGGGGAAGAGGTTAGAGGCAGGGAAATCCATTAGGGAGATCATATTTGACATTTTTCACAGTGTAAATTAGTAAGGTCCTAGAAGAGGTTGTTGGCAAAGGGAATAGAAATGAAGGAATAAATGTGAAAAGCATTATAAAGACTTGTCAGTAATTCATAGAGCCAAATTTGTGTCTCTCTTAGTATTATCTTCAGATTTAGATTTCTAAATGCTATAAATGTATATAATTTGTGTTTAGAATTTGTTTCTGTTCTTTAATCATTTTATCTAATGTACTTTTCCTTGCCTTTTTCTCATTTTGATTCTTATTTGATATTCAGTTCTTGTTGAGAGTATAGCCCAGTGCTTCGGTAATTTGGTTTGAGAAATACTAATGCTTTACAGAATACCAAATGAGAGTTCAAAATGCATGTTACTTTCTGATTGTATTAGTATTTTCCTGACGTAATGAATAGTTTATCATAAATTCTAAAGTCAAACTATTTTAATTGTTCTATATCTTATAAGTGAAAATACACATTAGATACTTAACACATAGAAATGAATCCATTTTATCTGCAAACATAGTGCCAACATCTATCTCAATCGTTAGGGTCTATCCATGATCCCTTTATATACTCATTTATCTTTAGCACAATATATGCATAATTTGTCTGTCAGAATAACCTACACAGATCTCAGTGCTGACATAATATCCTAAAGGCACAATAGCTCAGTCTCACTCCATTATATGATCTTTCAAAAGTCAAGTGCATGCTGCACTCTATTTTGGGTACTTACCTCTCAGGGAAGTGTCTCTGTTTTAGTCTCTGCAGAAAGATAAAAAGTAATTTTACCAGGGTAAAATGTCAGCTGAAGAGGTAAAGTCTATTTTCATCCTCTTTTCCCTTTAACTTCACTTCAATCAGCCTGTACAATGCTATTTTGCAAAAATAAAAGTCTTGTAGGCCTTATCAGTTATCTCTAAGCATTTCTTCAACTAATCCTTATGCAGTGGAAACAAATTTGAAAGGGGCAGGGACTGGAGGCCTTGGAGCTATTTGAGCAGTGTTCCAAACGTACAGCATTTAGACTCACCTGCTGAAGAAGATCAAGGTGCTCCTGGGAGTTGCTGAAATTTTTTCCAATGTCGAAAAGGCAGAAAGTCTCCTGCTGGCAGATGCTGACCCAGTCCTGGTATTCCCCTGGGTCAGGGATGCGATCCAGAAAGATCCGATATGCTTCCCACACTACTTCCTGACACACTACAATGCAGCACCATTAGGAACAGAAAATGGTCACATCCTAAGACAATCCCTGTTTCCCAGCCTAAGCATCATTTCAGACCATGGAGAGCTCTTTTATGGCTTATGTGGGCATGCTGATTTATAGCCCACAGAAATTAATTCATTTAACAAATATATATTGAATCCCTGTCTATGTTATAGAGAAAAATAAAAGAAGGAAGATAAGGGATATGAGAGAGAGAGAGAGAGAGAGAGAGAGAGAGAGAGAGAGAGAGAGAGAGAGATTGAGTGTGTGTGTGTGTGTGTGTGTGTGTGCGCAGTTTAAAATAGGGCAGTTGAGGAAGGCCTCACTATAAAGGTGACTTTTAAGCAGAATGGAGCAGAATGGAGCCTTCTCCATACTCAAGGCTGGAGAATGCTCTGAACATTGAAGGAACAGCAAAGAGGTCAGTGTGACCACAGCAAGGATGAGAGTAAAAGAGGATAAAGACAGAAAGATGAGGGGAACAGGGACTGTGTAGGGCTTTGTGGACCAATAATCTTCATACTGGGGCATAGGTGCCTGGCTATATTTAAAGACTTTCCAAGGGATAAATAGGCACATAGACAATTTAAAGAGAATCAATATCTAGGTCCCATTTTCCTATCATGCTTTTCTAAAGTCAGCCTGCCTGAGCACACACCTTTCCTTTTCTCCTTTCCCTTTGGCCAGCATCCTTTCCCCATTCATCCTTTTCCTAATCTTACTGTGGCACGGTGCCTTTAGGTTGCCACACAATGGGATGATGTGAAATAGCAGTGTGGAGGTTAAGAAAGCAAGTGAACTCAGTTGAGGGGTAACGTGTTTTTGCAACAGGGTGCTTTCTGATTTGTTGTTTTCAACATATTAGAAGAAGTCCTAATGGAGTTGACAGGTGACAGCATTAAAAATAATGACAGATCATGAGTGATTATTAGCATATAATGCCAAAGCAACTTAAAGCATAAAGATATTACTATAACAAAACTCCCATCTGTTTCCATTTATTTACATAACATGTTTTCTCAGTATTTAAGTGAGATGCTTAGGGATAAAATTGATCCTAAATCCTGTCTCATTGTGGCAATATATAATATGAATAATAGGTAATGGTACATGAACTAATATCAGGAATGACACCAAAGCAACTCCATCCATCCAGAGGCTGAAGCTAATGACAATTAAGCTACAGGCTGTTCATTTAAACTGGACTCTTCCAAAGTCTCGTTCCTAATTTTGTATGTATAAACATTAGTACCCACAAAACGGGGGTATCAATATCTGATCTTATATCTGTTAATATAAATTTACTTAAGTTTTTTGTTAAATTTGTATCTGTTTTAATCAGTTATATATTAAAAGTAAATGCAACTGGACCTAGAAAAAATTTCTTTGTACACATAAAGCCTACAGTAACAGGAAATAGATAAAATCTATAAATCAAATTTATATATGTATTTTTGTTACTAAGAAGTATGTAAGAATAACCAATAGCAGACTTTCAAGTATGAAATAAATTACATTAAGGTAGGGCCTTGAGGGCAGCCCAGGTGTCTCAGTGGTTTAGCGCCACCTTCAGCCCAGAGCGTGATCCTGGAGACCTAGGATCCTTGCGTGGAGCCTGCTTCTCCTTCCGCCTGTGCCTGTGTCTCTGTCTCTGCCTCTCTCTTTCTCTCTCTCCCTCTCTCCGTGTCTTATGAATAAATAAATAATATCTTTTAAAAAAAAAGATAGGGCTATGAAGTGAGAAGTGGAGTGGAAATGTGGGTGTATGGAGAAAAAGGATCCCTGTGGCATTTCCTACTGTTGAGAAGAGTACGTGAAGATATGTACTTGTGGAGTATTTGATAGTAACTATTGAGTAGCTATGGTAGATTCTACTGGAAACATACAAATGCTCTAATTTTTGTTTTATTTTCAGTATCAATATTTACAACTTACCAAAAGTTACATATTACCCAATCATTTATACTTATAATGAAAAACTTTTTTATTTTTTATTTTTTGAAAAACTTTAGATATTAATTGAAAAGCATGCAAAAGGGTACATACCTTAAAAATTAGAGGATTAAGTGAGGAAAAAAGTTAGATGATATCTGTTATAAACAATTATAATATGTTGATTTTTACCTCAGGAGGAATGGGGAGCTATTGGAGGCTTTGGGACAGAAGCTGACATCATCTGAATTTCTAAAGAAATTCTACCTACCTGCTGAGAGAAGGTGCTGGGGGAAGGAGCAGGTGAGAGAAGACCAGTTTGGAGACTTACTCCTATGCTTTATCTTCCTTCATTCCCCATTTTTATATGCCTAGATTTCTCTTAACTTTGTTTTTAAGAGGCAAAGAGAATTCCAGACCAAAGAAGCTCAGGTTAACTACCAGCAGCCACCTCACCAGAATGCACAAAGCCAGGAGTGGGTACAGTCTCCTGCACCTCAAATGTGCCATCAAGTTTTCCACACCTAGTAAAGTAACAGGGGTCAGCACACTTGGAGAGCAAGTGAATAGCCTCACCAGGAGAGCTCACTTTTGTGAATGTTATCTTTCTCCTGCCAGGCAAGGATCAGAGGGTTGTAATGCCTTTCCCAATACCAACACTCATGCAATCTTTTGATCTTCATCTGTACTCAAGGGTCTACATACAACACAAGAAGGAAATGACAGTTGAGTATCTTGAGGTTTGTCCAGATCTTAAGAGTTGTGTGTCCAGCCCAAGCAAACCAGTTGCCCTTGCTATCCTTCTCATCTACCTACTCCACACTCTTTGGGATGTTATTCTGACTTTCTATCTTTCTCCAATGCACTTGCTAATTTAGTTCAAAAAACATTTAAGTGTCAGAGATACAGCATTTGCATCATGTATACAAAATCAACTAGAGTTGCCTTTGAGATCTTAGTGTTGGTGACTTTCACTGCTAATATCTGTATGTGAAACATCTGAGAGAACATAATGTGATAATTCTTCTAATTACTAGTTCAATGTACCCCACGGCATGTTTCTTTTGGTCTCAGGTTAAGGCTTCCTTTTATTTCAGTCCAATTTAAGGCTTGTTTTTGGTGCCTGCATCTTCTGAGCTCTGCTTCTTTTTCTGCTGCCCTTTCTCCTACTTCAGAGACACAGAACACCCTCATCCCCATTAAAATCTCCTTTTCACAAAGGCTCTGAGAGAACTTTCTCCCTGAAGCACAAATGTCTGAAGCTGCTTAAGGAGTTATTTCCCAGAAAGGAGAGATCACAGCCAACACCACAGAAATACAAACTATTATAAGAGACCATTATGAAAAATTATCTGCCAATAAGTTGGGCAATCTGGAAGAAATGGATAAATTCCTAGAAGCATATAAACTACCAAAACTAAAACAGGAAGGAATAGAAAACTTGAACAGACCAATAACTAGCAAAGGAATTGAATCAGTAATCAAAAATCTCCCAACAAAAGGCCAGGGCCAGATGGCTTCCCAGGAGAATTCTACCAAACACTTAAGGAAGAATTAATACTTATTCTTTTCAAACTGTTCCAAAAAATAGAAATGGAAGGAATACTTCCAAACTCACTCTATGAGGCCAGCATTATTATCTTGATTGCAAAACCAGACAAAGACCACACTAGAAAAGAGAACTATAGGCCAATATCCCAGATTAAGATGGATAAAAATATTCTCAACAAAATACTAGCAAATCACACCCAACAGTACATTAAAAGAATCTTTCACCACGAGCAAGTGGGATTTATTTCTGGGTTGCAAAGGTGGTTCAATATTGGAAAATCAATTAAGTGATACACCATGTTAATAAAAGAAAAGATAAGAACCATATGATCCTTTCAATAGATGCAGAAAAAGCATTTGACAAAGTAAACATCCATTCTTGATAAAAACCCTTAACTAGGGATAGAGGGAACATACCTCAACATCATAAAGGCTTTATACAAAAGACCCACAGCTAATATCAATCTTAATCTGGAAAAACAGAGCTTTTCCTCTATGATCAGGAATAAGACAGAGTTATCTGTTCTTACCATTGTTATTTAATACAGAACTGAAAGGCATGGTGTCAGACAATGACAACAACAACAACAACAAATAAAAAGACATCCAAATAGGCAAGGAAAAATACAAATTTTCACTATTTGCAGATGACATGATACTCTATGTAGAAAACCCAAAAGTCCCTACCAAAAATTGCTAGATACATGAATTCAATAAAGTCCCAGGATATAAAATCAATGTACAGAAATCTCTTGTATATTTCTAATGCAGCAGCAGAAAGAGAAAGCAAGGAATTGGTCCCATATAATTGCACTAAAATCCGTGATATCCAGAAATAAACCTAGATAAAGAGGTTAAAGATCTGAATTCTGAAAACTATAAATTGCTAATGAAAGGAATTGAAGATAATACAAAGACATGGAGAAATATTCCATGTTCATGTATTGGAATAGCAAAGATTATTAAAATGTCTATACTACCCAAAGCAATTTACACATTTAGTGCAATCCCTATCAAAATATCAATGTTATTTTTCATACAGCTAGAACAAACAATCTTAAAATTTGTGTGGACCCACAAAAACCCCAAATAGTCAAAGCAATCTTGACAAAGAAAAGCAAAGCTGGAGGGATCACAATTCCAGACTTCAAGTTATATTATAAAGCTGTAGTGATCAATACAGTATGGTACTGACACAAAAACAGACACATAGATCAATGGAACTGAGTAGAAAACTCAGAGATAAACCCACACTATATGGTCAACTAACCTCCAACCAAGTAGGAAAGAATACCAGTGGAAAAAAAGACAGTGTCTTCAACAAATGGTACAGAGATAGCTGGACAGCAATGTGCAAAACGATGAAACTGGACCACTTCCTTACACCATACACAAAATTAAATTCAAAATGAATGAAAGACCTAAATGTGAGACAGAAAACCATCAAAATCCTAGAGGAGAACACAAGCAGTAACCTCTTTGACATTAGCTAGAGCAGCTTCTTAGTCAATATGTCTCCTGAGGTAAGGGAAACAGAAGCATAAAAGGAGTTATTGGAACTTCATCAAGATAAAAAGCTTCTGCATGGTAAAGGAAACAATCAATAAAACTAAAAGGCAACCTATAGGATGGGAGAAGATATTTGAAGGGTTAGTATCCAGAATATATAAAGAACTGATAAAACTCAACACCCAAGAAATAAATATCCAATTTAAAAAGGGTCAGATGACATGAAAAGACATTTTTCCAAAGAAGACAACAGATGACTAGTAGGCACATGAAAAGATGCTCAACATCCCTCATCATCAGGGAAGTGCAAATCAAAATTACAATGAGATATCACCTCACACATGTCAGAATGGCTAAAAAGAATAACACAAGAAACAATAGGTGTTGGTGAGGATGGGGAGAAAGGGGAACCCTCTTGCACTGTTGGTGGGAATGCAAACTGGTGCAGCCATGCTAGAAGGTAGTATGGAGATTCCTCAGAGAGTTAAAAATAGAACTACCCTAGGATGGATCCACAGTTGAACTACTAAGTATTCACCCAAAGGATACAAAAATACAGAATTGAAGGGGTACATGCACCCTGATGTTTATAAAAACATTATCAATAATATCCTAACTATGGAGAGAGCCCAAATATCTATTGACTGTTGAATGGATAAAGAAAATGTGATACACACACACACACACACACACGCACACACACACACACAGAGGAATATTACCCAGCCATTAAAAAGAATGAAATCTTGCTATTTGCAATGAAGTGGTTCGAGCTAGAGTATATTATGCTAAGTTAAATGTCAGTCAGAAAAAGATAAATACCATACGATTTCACTCATACGTAGGAGTTAAGAAATGACACGCATGAACATAGGGAGAAAAAAAAGAGAGGCTAACCATAAAACAAACTCGTTAGCTATAAAGAACAAAGGGATGCTGGAGGGAGGTGTGTAGAGGGATGGGTTAAATGGGTGATGGGTATTAAGGAGGGCACTTGTGTTGAGCACTGAGTATTATATGTAAGTGATAAATCACTAAATTCTATTCCTGAAACTAATATTACACCACATGTTAACTAACTATAATTTAACTAAAATCTTGAAACTGAAAAAAAGGGACACCTAGGTGGCTCAGTGGATTAGTGCCTCTGGCTTCTGCCCAGAGCATGATCCTGCAGTTCTGGGATCAAGTCCCACGGTGGGCTTCTTGCATGGAATCTGCTTCTCTCTCTAGCTGTGTCTCTGCCTCTCTCTGTGTGTCTCTCATGAATAAATAAATAAAATAAAATAAAATAAAGAAACTAACAAAAAAGAATTATTTTTCTGGGGCATTGTTGTTTATAGGGATTAAAATGTTAAAAATGAAACAGGGACAAGTAGCTTTTCTTTAGACTTTTTTGAGGGGCAAATTCTTTTGGTGACTGCTCCGATGTCATTTTTCTGGCCCCCTGGTAGCTTAGCACAAAGCAGGAAGTGCAGCATCTTTCCGCAGTTGGGATAACAGGGAGCACCAGCTCATGCCCCACTAGGAGAGTTCTCCCATCCTTACCAAGAGGACATCAAAAGAACCCTTGAAAGTTAAAGCATCAAAGGATCTCATGACTGGAAGGAGTCTGAAAACTTCTGAAAGCTGGATTTTTCTATCCTTTTAACTTACCTCTTATTTAACTTCCTGCACCATCCTTCCCTAAATCTACCAGGAAAGATTTCCACAGGGATTCTAGGGACATCCAGAACCTTGCCTCTTCAGTCTTCCCACATTTGCTGGCCAGTGCCTGAAATCTGACCAGAGCCTCAATCTTTCTATTGAATGCTTCACTGTAGACTCTTTGGTGATGTGGAAAGAACCCTTGGGAACACACATCAAGGAGGCAAGGCAGGTCCTGGGATAGTTATTCACATTTGTAAGGATTAGGTTAAACCAATGGTATGTAAAAATGGGGGCATTTTTGCCCAAGGTTGGGCACACATTAGATGGAGAGATAACACAATGGAGTAAGAGTCAGAATGCTGTGTTTTAACCATGCTCTGCCACTAATGCTGGCCCTGGCTGACCATGTCACCTCACTTTTTAAACTGTATAATGGAGGTGTTGGCTAGATATTCTAGAACTATAGTGTGTAAATGGATTACCTGGAGTCTTATTAAAATACAGATTCTGGAAATAGATATGGTGGGGTGAAAGTAGGTCTGCATTTCTAACAATTAGCTAGATGCTGGTGACGATGCTGGTCTTGGATAACACATGGAGAACGAAGAACTAGGATTCCCTCTATCTTAATCTTTCTCTAAGGCATATATTAATGTGAAAGAAAGATCGAGCTTTTGATTTTGAGGCAGAGAGGTGGAGGGAGAGAGAAGAAGCAAAAGAAGAAGGGGGAAAGGGGGAGGGAGATACAGAGAAGGGTGGGATGTTTGAGAGGAGTTTGCTTGAGTAGGAACACAGGGTTCCCCTGGGAGACTGCCAGAAACAAACTTGCCTGTCTTTCATTTGTGCTTTGGGATAAGCATATTTATGATTCTACTATGAAGTTCAGAACATTTTCATTTGTGCTGCTTTAAGCATTGGAAAAATAAATATATCAATATTCCATTTGATTTGATGAATGTGGAAGCTTTCTCTCCTAAGTTTGAAAGATGTCAAAAGATAATTTTGCAAAAGCAGTAACAAAAACAGCAAGTGTGTTACTCTGTCAAAGGAGCACCACTTTGTATCTAGTCTTATTTCTTGTTTCTTTGTGAACCAATTTGTTAGACTTAAGAAACCCATGCTGATGAATAGTAAAATTTCATATCACCCAGGGGCAGCCATAAAAATAATGGACTGTTGTTGCTGTGGGGAGAAAAACAGTGGTTTGTTTCATCTAGGAAAGCAAGAATGAAAAAGGCAAACCTAATCAAGAATAAAAAATAAAATTCAGAGTTAAAAACTTGGTTCAGCAATAGTCTATTTTATAAATACCTGTGATGAATCCTATTTGTGAATGTCATAAAGGATTAGAAGTTATATGAGAATAGCAGTTATATTCACATTCAATGTGATGCATATGCTATATATTTCACTTCCATTCATGAACAAACAACATGAAATTTACCAGTGTCATTATCTGATCAATGTGTAGGCACATTCAAAATGAATAATTTACACATTATTGTCTTCTCTTTGCATTCCCAGTGGCCTCTTTGACTCCTGTATCCATCAACAAGCATTTAGTCAGAAACTGCCATGCAGAAGTGCTATGCTAGGAACTCAGAATAATAATATAGTGTACTTGATTTTCTATAATTAGAGTTCTCCTTCTGACTGTAATCCAGTACTTGTCATTTTTCTGTGGGTGTGGCTTCTGTCAGAAAGCAAATGTCTCTTCCACATAAAATGAGACATATGAGGAACATAAGGCCTGATATTTTTGAGACTCTTGTCTCCAAAATCTAGCAAAAACTCTCCAGACTTATGCAACCTTTGTACATTTTACAGATGTAAATACTCAAGAACTTCAGAATGTTAGTATCATGAAATGCGTTCTCTATTGTCATAGTTTGCAATACATCACAGGCTAGAATTGAACCAGCACATTCTAGTTAATGGGTATCAAATAGAGCAGGTTGACTGTGCTTTTTGGAATGGAAATAAATATCTCATGTGATGAAGATGGGCCTCAGCAAACCCCCTCAACTTTCACATGTAAGATGAATTGAGTTTAGGCTTCAGCTAGATAAGATATTTTGCATTTTTTGGAACAAACTGGGGGATTTAATAATATCTACTAAAGATTGTTTTGTGTTTTGTTTTGTTTTTTTTTCATTTAAAGAAGCAGCCATAGCGACTTTTTCATCTGCAGTAAGTGAATTACAAAGATAGCCACTGATCACTGTGGTGTGATTTAATTCCATAATGATTTCTGAGAAAGTCACAAGAATCCTGTTAGGCTGTCTTGGGGTAAAAACTGTACTGTAACTCTCCTGGAAATCACAGTAATTGTGTTGTAACTCCTGTTAACATCCCTGCATTATATCTTGGTAAATCATTGTTAATTTGTGACTCCTCTGCACTTGGATGTGCCTCCAGGTTTCCAAACTTCAGAACTTTTTGCTGGATCAGCAATAAACAATTTAAACTTAACAAGAAGGGAAAGAGGATATGGATTGTAATGTTGCTTTTGAAAAATGAAATCTTAAGTCATAAATCAACTTGCTCAGTTTTCTGACATTGTAATCATTCTGTGCTTCTTACTTCATAATAATAATATTAAAATCCAATATTGGGTTTTGGCAAAAATAAAACAAAGAGATAATACCCAGATACCAATCCTTCTGGTGACTTGTTAAATGCCTTAATAGTTCTATGTTGCAGAAGACATTATTTTAAATGTAAAAGCAGATATCTACCATAGTTTTGAAAGTTTACTACTCATTACTGTTAGGTTAATTGCCTGATTTTTATAACTCCTGTGACTAAATGAAAGACTCTGAAAGTTTGGGGCTAAAGACATTGTATGGATGACTGAAAGGGAAAGGTTAAAAAGAATGAGGGGCTAAACAGGTTCCATTTCTTTCCTTACCTCTCAATCTATAATAAGCTTGAAGACTGGCTAAAATCTGTTTCATGGATTCCTGTGGACAGACTTTAACTCCAGTTGGGAAAAATGTTGACCTTTTTGTTCGATGCTTGGCCAAATCGAATATTCGTTTCATGGTTGACACTTTGTACATTTTTGGAGTACTTTCGGTTGTTTCGATTCTTGGGGCATTGTCTATGTCTTTAGTTTCAGAATGGTATATTTTAATGGAGAGATCTGTAAAAGAAAGATTGATTTCCTGGTGAATATATACATCGATATATGTGAAACATATGATACATGAATTAACCAGAAGTTATAATTCTCTAGTTTATTTAAGTTCTACTTCGGTGCAACTGCCAAATTTCAGTGACAAGGCATTTTCAGAAATAGGGGAATAGCATAATGAGCTGATCAAGTGTATTTTTTAAATCACCAACATCTCAAATCATCTTGCCTTTAGGAACTGCCAAATATTGAAACCATTTCCCACACATCTCTAAAAATCACTCCCCACTTAGCACTCAAGCCTCCCGAGAGATGGCTCTTTTGATAGACATTATAATTCAAGTGGGGAATGATAGCATATTGTGAGGTGCACTTTGGATGAGGAAGTGGAGTGCTTCTAAAAACCTGGGGGGGGGATGCAACAAAACAACCTTCCTGTCTATTAGTGGCAGCCCTAGGATTTCTGTATGGTGGGGCTCAGAGTGTGGCAGTCTGGTTGAAAGTGAGTTGGGTCAAGGACATGTTACTTTCAGTCGACTTTACAGAGCAAGCAGTATATTTTACATAGGGAGGTGAGAGAAAAGATGAAGGGGAGTATGAAGAGATCAGGTTGACAGAGGATTTAACTTCCTGAGACATTTCATCCTGCTGGCACTACTGTATTTGTTAGGGTTAGGTCTAGACTTATTAAAGAAGGGCCTCAAACACTAATCTTCTGGCAGAGACAAGGGATTCAAGCAAAAATTCAAGCAGGGTAGCCGTGAAGCAACTCAAATTTTGCCACAAAGCATAAAAGTCCCTCCTTCATTACAGGGGGTGTACTGAGTTCTGTGGGAATACATATTCTCTGTCATTTTGAGGAGTCTTAGAGTACTCTGTCAATCTTGGACAGTGATAAATTCTCAGGAATCTCCAGGATGAAAGGGAGCATATGGATTAATTTTCTCACCAAGCCACATACCAAACCAATAAATCATAATCTCTGAGCAGAACGTAGGCATCAGCAACTTTTGAAGGTCTGTAGGTGATTCTAATATGCATGCAGGTTTGGGAAACCACTGTTTTATGGATCTGTAAGGACACTTTAAGGTGAAGAGTCAAGACAACCCATCTCAAAATGGTTTAAACAATAAGGAAGTTTATCACAAAGAAAGGAAAGCTAACAGTAAGGAATGCCTGGTGAAAAGAGAGCTCTAACTCTGCCTTTCTGCCATTCTCTCATTCTCTTTGTTCAGTTCCCTCACGTGGTGACTTTATCTATAGGCTGGTTTCCACCAAGTTAACTTGCTTGCCCTTGAACATTTTGAAAAATAACCTTTCCCTAAAGTATGGCTGTCTTATGCCATGTGCCTGGACCAATACCAGTTACCAAGGGATATACCAATGCCTCTAGCTTGAATTGAGTGATTAGAGAGCAGGGGACTGGAATTTCTCTGAGTGGCCCATTCTAACTGTAGAGGTGGTCAATATTCCCTGAGTTAGGCTAGCTGCATGGTAGACTGGAAGGTGCCCACTGAACATTGGCAAGTACAAGAAAGGGATAGAAGCTATCTGTACAGCTGCATTATCACTGCAGCTAGTAAAATGGGAATTTTAGCTTAGGAATGTTAATTTTTAATAACCTTTCAAACAATCATAGATTTCAGTATAAGTCACAGAAAAAGTTTTTGTAACTACATTTTAATTGCCACTAAGAATGGAAGAAAAAAATGTGCATCATTTGATAATTCTATGCCTATCCAGTATGGTAAGCATAGACCATACTTTGGGAAACTGTGCTCCTCATATATTCTGCACCTCCATTCTTCTCACAGTGTCTGTTGCAGTGCTGGTCCTGCTCTCCACTTCGTCACCCCCCACAATATTCCTCCTTTTGGGGTTTGTCCTGTTCTTATTTTTAAATGTTATGCTCTACTAGAATTCTCTGAATAACTTGCTTTGGGAATAGTATTTATTCCACCTTGGCTCTGGGAAGAGTGCCCTGTCCTGGAATTGATCCTACTTGGATTCTTCTGGGTCTTAACACTCATATCCAGGCTTGCTCACATAGATCTACTTAATCTGCATCTTTGTACTTCATTCTTTCAGGATAGGAATAGAAAGGGGTGAAAAAGTTACAGATTTGCTCTGTGTCCCAGAATCCCATGACCTGTTATCTTTTCCTTACTAGTTCCAATTTTCCCTATTCTCCACATGTCAAGTGCACATAACTGGAGGTGAATTAGGTTGAAGTACGACTTGGTTTGCTTGGGATATCCTAGTTTATTGCAGCTATCCCTTCATTCTCAAATGTTTCCTGTTTGGAAAATGAATTATATGGTTCCTGAACTTTTAATATCTCCTTGCTGAGGGACACCCATGGCAAATATTCTACAAATGGTTTTCTGCCTCATCCTGGAAGCACTTTGTTCCGTTTTTGAAATCTCTGCTTAAGTAATTTTTTCTTTGAGCAGAAAATTATCTTCTAGTAGCTTCCAATATTCGTCCTATTTCTGCCCTCTAGAAGGGCAAAGATCAGGTTGACATTTCCTCATATTTCCTCTATATCAGGCATTTCTCTACTTTAGGTTAACCATCTTCCATCTTTCTCTGGTGTCCTTTTTCACATGAGTATCAGACACCTCAGCCTGTGTTCCTCTAAGTTACATAGAGACAACCACAGGGGAATGTGGATACCATCACTTGGGCATGGAACAGAATCTTTTGCCTGGGTCTTGACTTCAAGCCATCACTAGAAAAGAGGTAGGTAAAGTCTCTGAGAATAGGGACTAAGGGTCCGAAAATATTTATAGAAGAAGCCACACCTAAAAAGTCTGTCTTTCTCAAGGATTTCCAATAAAATAAACCCCAAATTTAAAGAATTGAAAATGGAATGTTGCAGATTTCAGTGAGGTAAAAAGAGCTGATATTTATTGTAGCTAATGAAAGCACTGTTTGGTAAAGCAATTAGATCCCATTAGATGCTAGCCTCCATGCTGCATAAATAGTAATGTCGAAATTGAACTAGTTTTGATTCTCTGGATGCATTTTCATGTGTTTTATATCTTATTTTATATAAGTTTTGGAAAGAGTAGAGGAAAGATTAATGAGAATGAATTGATAGTTGAATTACCTGCTATAAGAAAGGAGCATATTTAATAGAAGATTAGAAAATCTTTTGAGGAGAAAATACTTGTGTAACCTGTATGATGTTGAATTGGCTGCTATCAATAATTATTTCTGGGTAAAGTTCAAAGTTACAAAGAGAAAGAAGGGCAAAGTGGTTTCAAACAAACAAACAAACAAACAAACAGAAAAACACTCTTTTCTAGAGTACAAGAGTATTAGAAAAAGTTAATTAAATATAATATGAATTAGAAAAAATTAATGCAATTGTACTATATTATAAATTAATCACCAGGAAAACAATTGTAAGTCAATAGTTTTGGGAAACAATCATATCGTTGAATGAAGAAAATAAAAAAATAGCAATCAATACATTTGCATATTCAGAACTTCTAAATATAGATGAGAGACAGTTAACATTCATTGCTTACTTTCTAAATTTAATTTAAATATGTTCATTATTTGTGAAAGAAAAATGTGGTAGCAACAGAAATCATATGTTGCTCAACTATTCAAAATGTTTAATAGCACCAGTGAGCACAGGGCTGTGGCTCTGTGACTCACCAGCCATACAACTTGGAAGTACTTGACCTATCTGTGCTTGAGTTTCCTCCCCTGTAAAATGGTGAATGATAGTGCTTCTCCTACAGGGTTTCTGCGATCTTAGTAAATGAGTTACCATTTGGGCAGCACTTAAAACAGGGTAAGTGTTCAGTAAAAACTCCTTTATCCAACAGTCCAGGCAGTTCACTTCCTGGTATCACTCTTCCTTTTTTACATACTCTTTCAGGATACTTCTGAGTCCTCAGACAAGACTATGTGTGTCTCCGATGTCTTCCTGTACTTCCTTGCTTTAGTGCTCAGCTCATGCTTGTCTGTTCCTTCATATTAGAGGGCTGTACTTTTCCTTCTTTCACTGGCCAGTTTCTAAGCTTTCTTTGTTTCTCCACTAAGCTTTCTCAGACCCCATGGTCAGAATTCATTCATTGATCCTGTGTGTTGCTTCAGTGTGGTTCATATCTTTACTGATTTACTGATTCACCAGTGTTCCTTAAGTGTCTACTGTGGTTCAGCCCAGGATGGTATATAGTGCTAAACTGGATGTACAAATGTCATAGAAATTGTGTCGTTGTGCTTGCTTTTTTTTTTTTTTAAAGATTTTATTTCTTTATTTGACAGAGAGAGAGAGAGAGAGAGAGAGCATGAGTGCACAAGCAGGGGGAGTGGCAGAGGGAGAAGAAACAGGCTCCCTGTGGGGTGCTCCATGCAGAGCTCCATTCCAGGACCTGGGGATCATGACCTGAGCCAAAGGCAGATACTCAACCGATTGAGCCACCCATGTGCCCCTGTTGTGCTTGTTTGAAGAATAATTTGCTATAAATATGTTTTCCTCTTTAGGCTGCAAATACCTTTGTATTTGCAAAACCTAGACTTTTAGACTTCAAATACCTTAGTATTATGATCTTGTCCTCTTTCCAATTCACCTTGGTGCTTACCTAGTACAGTGTTTTGTATATGACACGTATGCAGTACAGATTCATCAAGTGAATTGATGAAAAATTCCTGTGGAGCTAGTTAATGAGTCTTTTACAATATACATATGAGTTAGATTCATTTAAAAAAATAGGCCATAAAAATTAGTTTCCTATGTCCTATCCACCTACATTATTACAACCTCCCTTATAAATTTCTTCTCTCAGCTACAGGTCTAATAACAGAGGCTTTGGATACAGTCATTTTATTAAAGATAATATCCTAAGTGAAAAGACAAAAATTCCTTTGTGACTGAAAACCAAAAGAACAGAAAGGAGATGGGTTATGCATAAAGTATATTTTAGTAAAGTTAGCATCCTGAGATACTTTCAATTTATCCAGGAGTAAATAAATAAACAATAAATGGAATC